AAAGTGAAACAATACATGCAGTTACACCCTCCCGATAACTAGAAAGGTCAGTGAGCCAACAGCGTGTTGTTCTTGGCAGTGACCTAGTGAGATGGGAACACCTCCTGGTTAGGAATCCAAGGCAGCTTGGGGAGCTGAGTGCTTATCCCCTCCTCTGTAGCATGGGAGTAACTGGACTGAATTTCAGAGGTAATAAAAGTCAGGTTAAAATGAGGTAAAACCTGTGCTAAACAGCACAGGTGCCTGGCACATAGTAGGTCCTCAAAGCTTAGCCATCATCATCCACATTAGAAAAGAAATATTTCTCTTTTTAAAGACTTTTTTGTATTGATTTGAGAGGTAGAGTGACAGAGAGGGGGAGATAGAGAGGTCTTCCACCTGCGGGTTCACTCCCCAAATGGCCACAATGGCCAGGGCTGGGTCGATCCAAAGCCAGGAGCCAGGAGCTTCTTCCAGGTCTCCCACACGGGTGTAAGGTAATTACCATGCCTGCCCTGTCAGCCCCACGAACTCGCTGTCTCTGTGTGCTGGGCTGGGAGCAAGCCTGCCCTTTGCTTCCAAAGGAAAAGCTGTCTTTGCCTTTCAGGGTTATGTGCCATGTGAACGTCCTTGCCATCTGCACCGGGTCAGTGTTTCTCCCAAGCTCCGGAAGTCAGAGAGCATGGAGAGTCGGCCGCAGCGAGCGCGTACGCGGGTGGTGCCTCGTCCTTCGCTCGCTCCTGCTCCTGCCAGGTGAGTCGCTTAGTCCCGTCTGCACTAACGGAAGCAAATGGGAAATAATTTCAGTTCTCCCCAGTTCAAAAACCTGCTCCCATTAGTCCTTTTCCTTAGGGCAGCCTCGTTCCTAAGGGCTTCCTCGTGCACCACTGGGTACTGACACAGCTTGAGGCATCTGGGCTCCCTGTCATCCTAATGAGGAACTACGTTTTAGTACTATTATTATTTATTCATCTATTTGAAAGAGAGAGAAGTTGTCTATCCACTGGTTCACTTCCCAGATGTCTGCAACAGCTGGAGCTGGGCCAGGCCAAAGCCAGGAACCAGAAGCTTTTTCTGAGTCTCCCACATGGGTGCAGGGGCCCAGAGACTTGAACCATCCTCTGCTGTTCTCCCAGGCACATTAGCAGGGAGCTGGATAAGAAGTGGAGCAGCCGGGACTCAAACCAGCACCATATGAGATGCCAGCACTGCAGGCAGCGGCTTTACCAGCTACGCCACAGCGCCTCTCCTCCATTAGCTTTCTATCCCCTGTGCCTCTGCAGTCTCTTTATTGCTCATTGAACTTGGGGACATCTGTGACCTCAGGCCTAACTGGAGACCCGCCTAGATCGCTGCTTCAGTCTATGCCAGTGTGCTTTCTCTCTCAGGCTGAGCCCGGCTTGTTACAGTAACCCATGTGAGGGAATTTCATTCATCTTTTGACTTTCAAAATGTGTGCATAGCTAGCATTTGCCCAATCTGCCAGTTTCCCTGGCAGCTCTTTCTAAGCTGGAATGTAGTAGAAATCACCGGAGAGTCTTTCCTCTGTGACCAGTGGTTCCTATTTCAAGAGCAAGTCTTCATGTCTACCCTGCCACACTGTGGTGGTAATGCACATTGGCTCAGGGCTGGTGCTGTGGCATAGCGGGTAAAGCCCGCTGCCTGCAATGCCAGCATCCCATACGGGCGCTGGTTCGCGACCCGGCTACTCCTATTCTGATCCAGCCCTCTGCTGTGGCCTGGGAAAGCAGTAGAAGATGACCCAAGTCCTTGGGCCCCTGCACCCGCATGGGAGACCCAGAAGAACCTCCTGGATCCTGGCTTTGGATTAGTGCAGCTCTAGCCATTGCAGACATTTGGGGAGTGAACCGGCAAATGGAAGATATCTCTCTCCCTCTCTCCCTCTCTCCCTCCTTCCCTCCCTCCCTCCTGTAACTCTGCCTTTAAAATAAATTCACAAAAAACTTCAAAAAAATGCACATAGGCTCATCTGAAGAACCTACCGCTGGACCATCAGTACTAAAAATAGGAAGCAGTGAACACAAGAAAAAGTGATATCTAATTTAACAGTCAAGTCTCTGTTTTAAATAATTTTTCCCTTCCTACCCAGAGGAAAAACTGCTACAGGACATGAATTTCTAAAAATATTTTTATTAGAGAGTGCATTCCCAGTTGCTGCTTCACTCCCCAAATGTCCCCAACAACTGGGACTGGGCCAGGGCGGAAGCCCAGAACCAAGAACACAATTCAGGTCTCCCATGAGAGTGGCAGGAACCCAATTACTTGAGCCATCATCCCTACCTCTCAGGATGTGCATTGGCGGGAAGCTGGAGTCAGGAGCCAGAGCTGGGAGTGAAACTCAGGGACGCTAGTGTGGGAAACGGTCACCTTACCCACACTTAGGGTATGAATGTTGTGCAAGCAAATACAATCCTAACTGATGACAGATGGAGGAGGTAGAAAAGTTATTAGAAAATGAAATTCTAGGGCCTGGTTCTGTGGTGTAGCAGGTAAAGCTGCCGCCTGCAGTGCTGGCATCCTATGTGGGCGCTGGTTTGAGTCCCGGCTGCTCCACTTCTTATCCAGCTCTCTGCTATGGCCTGGGAAATCAGTGGAAGATGGCCCAAGTCCTTGGGCCCCTGCACCCATGTGGGAGACCTGGAAGAAGCTCCTGGCTCCTGGCTTCAGATCAGCGCAGCTCCAGCTGTCGCTGGGGAGTGAACCAGCGAATGGAAGATCTCTTTCTCTCTCTGTCTCTCTCTCTCTTTCTCTCTCTGTAAGTAAACAAACAAAAACTTTTAAAAAGAAAAGAAAATGAAATTCTAGCACTTAGGTCAGTAGCTTAAGTCAGTATTGAAGAACCAGCAATTGTACAAAGGTACATAGCAACACAATTCCTATTAGCAAATGTTAGCTACATAGTTACTTACAGCTAGAGATAACCAACATCAAAGTAAAACTACCCTGTCACTGTTGATCCCAAACTGGATTGCATTCAGTATCCTTTTGTGTGGTACAATGAATAGATTTAGTAGTTTTGAAAATACAAAGATACAGGTCCTTAGCTGTGTTTTAGATCAGTGTATTTCAGAATGTGCGTTACTGCTCATTTAGGTGATGAAATCAATTTAGGGTGGAACAGGATTATTAAAAAATGAGAGATGACAGAGAGTACAGTGTCATCAGGGTTAGTCTCCTTCTGTGGAGGAAGGTGTCCTGGATCATAACTTAAAATGCCTTTCTTATGGTGGGTTAAGGCCAAGGGTTTGAGGCTCCCTTTGAAATGATGCGGCAAAAGGACGGGTCGGAGTTCACATCTCTGAAGAAACCACGCAGCTTCTCCGCAGCACTGCTGACTCTGTGAGGTGTTCGCTTCGTAGGTGTGAAGAAAGCAAACCCCGCGGCAAGGACAGCTGCCAGGTGCTGTGGAAAGGTTAGTTTTGGCTTCTTGTCTCTCAGACCCAAAGCAAGGAGTTTTCTGCAGCCTGGAACAGTTGCAAGAGAATAGGAAGTGAGCTGGGAAAGTCTGGCTTTTCAGTAACCATTAGGCTTTTTACTATTATTATTATTATTTATTTGAAAGTCAGAGTTAGAGAGAGCAGGAGAGGCAGAGAGAGAAAGAGAGAGAGAGAGAGAGAGAGAGAGAGAGAGGTCTTCCATCTGCTGGTTCACTCCCCAATTGGCCGCAATGGCCAGAGCTGTGCCAATCTGAAGCCAAGAGCCAGGAGCTTCTTTTAAGTTCAAGGAATCATTGTTGAAAATAAAATGCAATGGGGGCCAGTGCTGTGGCATAGTGGTTAAAGCCTCTGCCTGCAGTGCCAGCATCCCATATGTGTGCCAGTTTGTGTCCCGGCTGCTCCTCTTCTGATCCAGCTCTCTGCTATGGCCTGGGAAAGCAGTGGAAGATGGCCCAAGTGCTTGGGCTCCTGCACCTGTGTGGAAGACCCAGAAGAAGCTCCTGGCTTCTGATCAGCACAGCTCCAGCTGTGCAGCCACTTGGGAAGTGAACCAGTGGATGGAAGACCTCTCTGTCTCTCCCTCTCTCTGTCTATAACTCTGCCTCTCAAATAAATAAGTAAATCTTTAAGGAAAAAAAAAAGGCAATAAAATTAAAGACAGTTTTCACTATATTCAGCTTTTGCTCTTCATTCATATGAAGTAAGCTAATAGGTTTTCAAACTCTGAGAATTCTTATTGATATATTTGATAAGTAATGATTTCATCCCCACTGAAAAGCAATTTTTAAAATTTTGACTTTTTTCAGGACTTAAGTGTAATAAATATCCATTCTGAAATACAAAGCCAATGAGCATCACAGACTGAACACTGGGCAGCTCTCAGTAAGAGGGAAGCCATGCAGACAGGTAACTGGTGTTTCCAGAAAACTCTCAGGGGGCATGTAACAGTGTAGTCTCAGTCCAGTCTCTGAAGGTGTTCTCCATCCACAATCAAGAATAGCAAAATAGCATCAAAGAATGACTCAGACACCAAAATTCTAGAGTAGCTTCTGAATTATGTCAAAAGTTTAAATTACCTTCTGATCGGTTTTCCTTTAGTATTTCTTAGAACACTATTTTTGGAAATTTGTCGATTATGTATTGCTGCATTCGGGTATGAGTAAAGAAAACACTTTTAAATACAAGCTTCTAGAAGATAGATTTCGTATGGTTATATATTATATGTGTGTATATATTTATAAATTCCAGATGATAGCTTTTATGTGGTTCTGTATTATATATGTATACACACAGATTCTAGAGGGTAGATTTTGTGTATAAGGAGAACTCCTTGCAGACCATTTTAGGAAGCCAAACTCCTTTGCTGAAGTCACCCACAAAGTCCACATTCTCCAAGGTAGAAATCCCCACCCTGGATACTTCAACCAGAACTTAGAAGCGTTCTCAAAATAGGGCAACGGCACCTGCGCTGGTCTGCTCAGACGGGGACAGCTGCGTCCCCGCGCCCACGACTGCACTGCGGGGCGCCGGCTTCGCGAGCGGCTCACGGGGGCCCCCGGGCGCGAACGCACCGGGCACCGAGCACTGGGCACCGAGCACTGGGCACCGAGCACGGGGCACCGAGCCCCGGGCACCCGTAACCGCCGTGACCGACACGCTCGTCCGGGCAGACAGGCTGACGAGCGGAGGGCTGTGACGCTAGTCACTCCTCCAAGGGGTGACGGAGACCCCAAGAACAGGCTGACACCGGCGAAAGCTTACATGCTGGGGGCAAGCATGCAGGAGAGCGGGTGCCTGGGGAGGGAGACCCGCGCCTGACACTAAAATTCAGAGCCGCCCTGAGGCGGCAGCTCGGTGAGCCGGGCGGCCGCACGCCCGCCCGGCGCACGCGATCGAGGACCACGGGGACGGCGCGGCGCATGCGCGCGCCCGCCAGGCTCCGGCGCGTGCACGGTCGTCCGGCGTCCCTGGCCCTCACAAAACGGGCCCTCGAGCCGGGCGTCACCGACTAACGGTCAGCGGTTGTTCCAGCGCCCTCCGGCCTCGTCCCGCACTTTTCTGAAAAGCCTCCCCCGGAACCCCGCAGGGCGGCCGGTAAGGGGGCAGAGGGGCCAGGGCCGGGCTGGGCGGTGGCAGGGAGCGGTTGGACCCGCCTCGGACTGCGTGGAGGAGCCGGCACAGCTGCGGCCCGCCCCCTGTGCGGGCTCACCTGGAGCCCGCCTGCGGGCCCCGCTGCAACCTGGGGGTCCCGGCTGGACGAGCGCTATAGGAGGAGAGGGTCGGAGTGGGCCGAGTGGAGGAACAGGTGGACGGTGCCCTGGCCCGGACTCTTGCCAGAGCTGCCAGGCGCAAGAAGTGGGGGCTCCAGCAGAGCGCCCGGGGTGCTCTGAAGGGCGAAGGGGGGTTTTGGAACGAGAGGTTTCAGAACAAGGACGCCCTGAGGTCACGTCCACTCATCTAATTGGCTTTCCTGCTTTTGCTCCTTTTTCCTACCCTAAAAAGTATTCAACTAAAAAGCAACGAAAAGTTGCCTGCTCTTTACAATGCAAACCTTCGTGTTTTCCTTTTTTTTAAAGACTTACTTTATTTTAAAGACTTAATTCTTTATTTGAAAGAGTTATACAGAGAGGGCAAGACAGATTTCCGTCTGCTAGTTCACTCCCCGGATGGCCACAACTGGCCAGGGCTGGGCCAGGCTGAAGCCAGGAGCTTCATCAGGGTCTCCCACTTGGGTGCAGAGGCCCCAGCACTTGAGCCGTCTTCCACTGCCTCTCCCAGGCCATCAGCAGCAGAGCAGCCGGGACTCCATCAAGCGCCCATACAGGATGCTAGATCTGCAGGCATTGTCTCTGCGCACTAGGCCACAACACCACCCGGTGCAAACTTTGAAAAACCTCACCCAAGTCCTTGCCCTCACAGAGGTAAGAATCCAAAGCAGAGGCATAGATTCATGTGTGAGTGTGGGCCGCCTCGCATCATGAGTGGCCAGAGGGTTGCCCAGGAAAGAGAAAGAGCAGCTCCTCCAAGCATTGTCCGTGGTGAAGAGACTTCTCCATTCTCAGCCTCTTTTATGAGGTGGGGGCAGTACCTTAATCAGATAAGCACATGTGTGGGGTCTTGGCAGGCATCCTGGTCCGTGATGAGACACTGGTGCATCCCCAGAAGATAGATGTGTCGAACTGAAGGTTGAAGACAAAAGATTGCAAGAATTCCCGCTCTCCTGAAGGCATCTGCCTGCCTGGTTATACCATATCAGTTCCTAGTGACTTGTAAAAGAATTGGAACCCGGGGCCGGCATTGTGAAGTAGCTGGTAAAGCCACCGCCTGCAGTGCCAGCATTCCATATGGGCACCAGTTCGTGTCCTGGCTGTTCTACTTCTGATCCAGCTCTCTGCTATGACCTGGGAAAGCAGTGGAGGATGGCCCAAGTCCTTGGGCCCCTGCACCCACGTGGGAGACGAAAGAAGCTCTTGGCTCCTGGCTTCAGATTGGCCCAGCTCTGGCCATTGTGGCCATCTTGGGAAGTGAACCAGCAAATGGAGGACCTCTCTCTCTTTCTTTCTCTCTCTCTCTGCCTCTGCGTAACTCTTCCTTTCAAATAAATAAATCTTAAAAAAAAAAAAAAAAGAATTGCATCCTTCCCCAAAGATCTTCTGTCTTCTTTCCAGGGCATCCTCCCCACCCCTGCCCCCCATTCTAGGTGAGCATCTGGGAGTTTCCCATAATACCCTGTGCGTGTCTGTATCATTGCATTTCTGCCATTGTTTTATAATCATCCTCTATGTCTCTTTCCCACTTCTCCTTCCCTCTCTGCTAGACTGTAAGTTTTCCAAGGGCTGGAATTAATATTTTTCTCTTCCTGGTGCTTTAGACAGGACCTGGCACACGAGTGTTCCATAAACACCTCCTGATGTTAGTTAGGGCCTGGTGGGTTAGGGCCTGGTGAGCCTTTCCCATCTGGTAAGCCAGTGCAGCCTCTGTGGTTACTTGGTAACGGGCCATTATGTGAGCCAGCGGGCCAAGTGGAAAAAGGACAGCAGCCACTCATGTAAGAATTTTTTTTTTTTGAGAGGTAGAGTTACAGACAGTGAGAGGGAGTAACAGAGAGAGAGAGAGGTCTTCCCTGCACTGGTTCACTCCCCAGATGACTGCGACGGCTAGAGCTGTGCCGATCCATAAGCCCGGAGCCAAGCGCCTCTTCATGGTCTCCTGTGAAGGTACAGGGGCCCAAGTGCTTGGGCCATCTTCCACTGCTTTCCCAGGCCATGGCAGAGAGCTGGATCGGAAGAGGAGCAGCCAGGACTCGAACCGGCATCCTCATGAGATGCCGGAGCCACAGGATTAACAGGATTAACCTGCCGTGCACCACTGTGGCCCCGTGCGCCAGGCTTTTGAAGTTGGTGTCACTAGCATATGCGCTCACTCCGCTCTGAAGCAGCGTCTTCAGTCTGCTGATGTGATGTGAGTTTCTGTGCAGCTAGTCCTGTAAGAGGAAGAAAGTTGGATCCAAATCTTCTAGTCTTTGTAGCGGTTATATTTCTGAAGTAAATTAAAAAGTTGGCATTCTGTAATCAGCCAGCCAGGCCCCTTCTAATTGAGCTTTTGCAGGGCCTGCTTGTTCCTGTGATAAAGTTGTGTGTTTTTTTTTTGAGATTTATTTATTTACTTAAAAGAGTTATGGTGGCGATTTGGGGGGCGGGGCAGGGGATCTTCCATCTGCTGATTTACGCCCCAAATGGTTGCAATGGCCAGGACTAGGCCAGGCTGAAGCCAGGAGCCAGGAGCTCTATTCTGGTCTTCCATGTGGGTGGCAAGTACCAAGCACTTGGGGCTCTCCTGCTGCTTTCCCAGTCCCATCCGCAGGGCGCTGCAATGAAAGCAGAGCAGCCAGGACCCAGCCAGCACTCAGGTACGGGATGGTGGCATCTCAGTAGCCCAACCTGCCGTGCCACAGCACCAGCCCCTCTTATGGCTGCCTTTTCCTGCCCCCGATCACTGTGTGGGCGTGGGCTTTCCAGTGTACGAGTCTGTCTGCCGTCCTCCACAGCGCAGGCTCCGGCCGTTCCTGAGCGCCACGTGCCGGGCTCCCCACCAGACACAGCAGTCATGCTCTGCAGAGAACATAAGGCTGGGGCTGGCCCTGGCTGCCGGCTGGAGCAAACCAAAGTCAAAGCTTATAGCCGTGGTCTTTTTTTTTTTTTTTCATTTAATTTTTATTTATTTCATTTATTTGAAAAACAGATCATCCATCTGCTGGTTCACTCACCAAATGCCTGCTACAGCCACGCCTTAGCCGAGTCAAAGCCAGGAGCCCAGAACTCATCCAGGTCTCCCACATGGGTGGCAGGGATCCAAGTACTTGAGGCAGCACCTGCTGCCTCCCAGGTGCACGTTAGCAGAAAGCTGGATCAGAAGCTGAGGGGCCAGAACTCATACCAGGCACTCACTCCAATGTGGGGTACAGCTGTCCCTGTGGCATATGCCTGCCCTCCACCCTGTGCCCTGAACCTCTGTGGCACACGCTCATTCTCTGAGCAGGGACAACCCCTTTGGCTCTGAAGGGCTGCCTTCTTGGCTCCTGACCTGTCCTGTCCTGGCTGTGCCAGTCTGCCCCTCAGTGTCTGCATGGCTCAAACAGAGCCTCCTGGAGGTGAGGCAGGCTGGGCCCTGCCCCCTCTTAGTGGAAAGCCCACTCTTAATGGAAAGCTTGTTGGAAATACTCAGAACACTCGTAGAAGGATGTTAACTGAATGTCATTTTTAGGTATGTGGGCATTTTCATATAGAACTAGGACTCGGCCACCATCGTGAGAGAAGGGAGAATTTGGGAAAGGAGAAGTCATACTCTCTCTTTGCTCCTCTGTGCCCCAGAAAACACTGTCTTAAGACACATCTGTGTTAATTTCTACAAAGGCAATTCCCAAAGCACAAAACAAAGGGTCTTCCAGGGTTTGTGGGGAAAATTCATACTATGCGAAAACTACGCCTGGATTTCAAGAAGTGCTTGTGTTTTAATTTGGTGTTTCCATGGACACTCTGAAGTGCGCTCGTATGCAGCCTGGGCGAAGATCCGTGCTGCGTGGTGATTTTTAAGACTTTCAGACCTTGATCCCTTACCGCAGTAATTCTGAGTTTTCCACTCACAAAGTTTGTTTTCGGGTAAAATATTATTTCTAACTGCATGTTCCTTCTATATGGAAGCCCTCACTGGGTGGAAAAAAGAATCCTGCAGTTTTTTTGTGTGTCCTCCATTGTGTAACAACAATGGCTGCCACTTTTGTAAACTGTTTTTGCCAAAGGTTGCTAAGTCCCTGATTTACATTATTTTTATTACGTTTTTATTTATTAATAATTGTGCATATTTCTGGATTCTAATGCATATACTAGGCACTGGTCAAATGGGGTAACCGGCAGTTCCCCTTCTTTGACATTACTTTGTGCTCGGAGCTCCTGTCTTCCTCCTGCTCATAAAATGTGTGCTGGGTTGTTGTGAACGACCGTCTTCCCACTCTGCTGTCGCATCTCTGACTTGGTGGCCAGCTTCCTCCCTCCTCTGTCAGCCCCAGCCCTCCCGGCCCTGGTAGTCACTCTGGTGTTCAGATGGAGGTTATCCACCCTTGCGTAGGAAGGGCTGCATCCTGTACTGGTCTTTCCATGGCAGCACCGGGAACTGTGCTGGTGATGAGCCCGGTGAGGACACCGCAGGAACAGGACACGCAGGGAGCCACCTGGGGAAGAGATCTGCCCACAGAGATGACTGCAGGGGGCATTGAAACTGCCCAGCTCCTCCATGAAGCCCTCCCTGAGGCCCACGTCGCTGACCGAGGCTGCTGTGTGAGCGTGTGCAGGAGCTGGGCCAGGGCGCAGCAGGCTGGGGGGAGCAGGGCAGCAGGCAGAGGCCAGGGGACTGTACAGGGCACGCACTGTCAGCTGTCGCTCAAAGAAAGCAGAAGCTACGGGCACCTGGTGCTGGGCTTGTCTCCCCGCCCGTGTCCTGGCCGGTGGGGGACAAACAGGAGGAAGAGTGAGGAAGGAGACCAGTGCTGGCGTCCCCAGAGGGGAGCTAGCACCCTTGTCTTTTCCAAGAGAGCCGCCCGTCTGCTGCCCCCGCCCCCAGGGGAGAGTGCGGATGGGAACGCATTCGCCCCTGGGCTGTGGGTGACGCAGATGTGCAGGGGTCAACTTATAAGCATCATGTCATGAGGCCAGCGTCACTTCTAGGTGCCCCTTCAGGCCACCACGGGCAGCAGCAACTCCAGTAGGTCTTTACCCTCCATACGCCCAGGCCAGTGCTGGGAGAGAAGGAAGGAGCTAACGCTGGTCATACCAGCTGGCCGCTCTCTGGAAGCATCTCGACAGGGCCCTCAGCAAATCCCGCCTCACTCCTCAGGAAGTGAACGAGTGAGACTAGGCCGTTTCTGACATGGCCGTAAAGGGAGCAGTGATGAGGCTGGGGAAGTTTTAGTGCCATTGATCAAGTCTATAGCAGTGGCCTCAAGCAAGTCCCCTCTGCCTCTGGCCCTCAGGAGCTGGGAAGACCGGGGCTGAGCCATGTCTGAGGGCCACTGGTCAGGCCAAACTGCAAATGCTCCTCCACAGTGTGGGAATGTTGTCCACGGTGGGGATGCAAATGAGCCACAGGTTTCCAGGTTGGCCGAGTCTTGTGAATCCGGAGACCTGGTGACTCGTGGCAGGACCAGCTGCACTGCAGCGTGGCACTGCCTCACAGGGCCCGTCCTCACCGGGCTGCCACAGCCCGAGTCCCTCTGCTGCCAGGCAGTGCGGCTGAGCAGAAGGGTCAGAAACATCTGCCTGACAGAGACCTGGGGTCTCCATTGGACATAAGCGAAATGAAAGAGCAGCCACGTGGAGCCGATCAGATTAAAGTCAGAGCAGTGGTTGAGACTGGGTGGGGCGGGGAGGAGCCTGCTGCGGACTACACAGGTGCATCTCACAGACGTCTGAGCTGCACGGCTTTCTGAATCTCTGTGCTACACTTCAGTGAAACAAATAATGATTTTAAAACCAAAAGTGCCAGAAGAACCACCACCGCCTCGCAGGCATTGTGAACGCGATGCCCTGAGCAGAGCAGGCAGTGCCCCTCCCCGCCGGTGGGTGCCCCTGTCCCCGCGGCAGCAGCCCGCACCCCGCCACCGTCCGTTCACATCTGTTCATCCACATCTCGTTGCCTGCAATGTTTTCATCTTGCGTGGCATCCCAGATACTGCTCCCTTATTCTAGAGGCCCAGGGCACAAACGGACCACAGGAAGTAAACCATCTCGCCAGACGGAGACCCCGCGCCTCCCTCCCCCGGTCCTCAGGCAGGGCTCTCAATGTGGTCCTTCACCCGGGGGCTCTGAGAGGCGTGGCCATCACAGCTCTGCCTGGGCCAGAGAGTGCCTGTCAGCCCAGGGACTGCTGCACTCAGTCACCTGGTCCTCGGCACTGAGTGAGGCAGCGCCTTCATTGTCCTTAGAGAAGGGGAAACTGAGGCTGCTACACTACGGAAGCCTCTGAGCAGCAGACCCTGCCTCGGGTCCACAGCCCTGGGAAGGAAGCGGGTAGAGCCCCTGGGAAGATGGGGCTCCCGCAGCAAACCTTCAGGGGTCGTTGTGTGCGGACACGCGTTCACTTGGGAGCTCTCCGTGCATTCAGCACATGCTTGGTTCCTGCCAGGGCCTGGCTAGGCGTGCGTCTCCCTGGGAGACCCAGCGAGAGGTCCCCTCCTCCACGGAGCCCTGCTGGATCGCCAGCGTTCCGGCTTCAGCTGGGACCCTCTCGAGTACTGGGATCACACTTGGGTCACAGCCCGTGAGCTGTGTGAACACACTGGGTGAGACGTAAAAAGGGGCTCACAAAACACGCGGATGGATAAGTGACTGAGTCGTGAAATGATCCAGCCCAGCCACGTGGAGGTCAAGTTCACCAAAGTGAGACTCCTCCTCCCCTGCTTCCTGAAGTCCCTTCCCAAGACCCAAGTGACCTTGGCTCACCCTGGTCACATGGATCCCATGAACAGCTGGATGGGGTAGGAGGAAGAAGCGAGTCTGGGGCTTCCATTCTCACCTTGTCACATCCTGACCCTGCAGCCTGCTGAGGGCTCCCCTCAGCTGAACAGAATGCCTGAGAGTCGTGCTCTTTGGGGAGAATTTTTGAGGCCAGCAGCCCTGGCTCTGAGGCCTCGGGGGGACCTTGGGAAGTTCCTGTCTCTTTGGAGCCTTGGCTTCCTCCAGAAATGGTGTGATTGTGGGCGCCTCACGGACGTGCTGGGCTAGGTGAGCTGAGAGCTGACGTGGGCGTTGGGCAGGTGCTGGCCCTCGGTCACTGTTTGATGCTGCTGCTGTCCCTGTGGACTTGGGATGCTGACTGTGTGCAGGGGACACAAGGAGGGGACAGAGCAAGGGTGGGGGCAGCAGTGGAGGACACGTGGGGACTCACCCGGCCTGGGGGGACACTGCCCAGCTGTGTCTTTTCAGTCTCGCAGCCTCCGGGTCCCCGGGCTCGCCCACCCTGGCCCTTCTCTGCTGCCCCTGTACCATCTAGAAATGATGGGGTTGAGGGCTGCATCTCAGCCCCTGGTACTCCCTCGGGGCAGAGCAGCGGGCTGACTCTCCACCCTCTCCCAGGTGACAGGAGTGACAGCCCCAGGCCGGCCTCACCACGTCTGTGGCCCACTGCTGACCCCACAGCCTGAGTCCTGACAGCTCAGTGGGCCCACGTCTGCCTCTGCTGAGACGCTGACCATGTGGTCCTGCTGGAGGTGTGGCAGAGAGGGAGGTGAGTGTGCTCCCAAGGGCCGGGTGGGGGCGGAGAGGAAGAAGGGGACGCCCGGGCTGGAATTCTGGGGAGGCTCTCATCAGAGGTGGGTGGGGAGAGGCTGTGCCTGGGCTGCCCCGATCTGGCCTCCATCACTTGCTCACCATGGAGGACTCTGGAGGACTTAGTCACGAGGCAGGGGCCCAGCTCAGCTTGGGATCTGCTGATCTTGACAAGCTCAGCACACCCGGGCAGACACATCTGTGAGGGGCAGGGCACAGGGGATGAAGGGTGAGGGGTCCTGGGGGGAGCTGGTGACAAGGTGGGGGGAGGTGTTTGAAAGACGCTAGAGGACGTGGAGGAAGCTCATGAACTGGTGCTGCCCAGCTACACTGGGGGAAGATGTAGGTGAGACCCAGAGCCACAGGGAGCAACGGGAGGTTGTTCTAGAAACCAGGGGGCTGGGCCTCCTATCACATGGGCCTCCTGCTGCCTGGACGCCTCCATCCTGTACACACAGCCCTGTCTCATCTTCCCAGCTGGACATGGAGGCTTTCACGTGCGGTCTGTGACTGATTGCTCTCAGGGAGCCCAAGTGAGCTCAGGCCCATGCCTGCCCTGTGGGCTCCCTGGAGAGGAAACCACATGCAAAGGCCCCGGGGGTGGCCCGGTATCTGCAGCAAACTGGACGGCTCAGTGTGCAGAGGGAACGGTGGGGGTGGGAGTGGGGTGGGATGGGGTGGGGAGGGGTTTGCAAGGGTCTGCAGGGGACAGGAGAGAGAGGTCGTGGAAGTCGGAGGGGACTGCTTCCTGCACTGAAGGGAGGGGTGCCAGGCATGGTGAGAAGCACAGCAACACTGGGGACCAACATTGGGCTGCTGGGCAGAGAGAAAACCCACACTGGGGACAGAGGGGAGCGACAAGCTGCCACCCCGTGCCCAGCCTGCTGGCTTCCCCTGGCCCTGCTCTCAGGCTGAAGGACAAGCTGACCTGAGCGGGGAGGCTCCAGGGCCATCCCTGGCTGCGATCACTGGTGGTCACGGCACATTAGAGGCTGTGCACAGGGCAGGCCAGGCCATGCCCGAGGGCCGGGGGCCTTCCTGGGTGCTCTCTGGGCTCCTGATGATCCCAGAGCAAGACCTGAGGGACTTCCCCTCCACATATTCATGCTCACATGGAAATAACGGTAACTGGGACCCGGAACCTGCCTGAGCCACGGCCCCCTGCCCGCCAGCCCTGTGGGATGCTCTTTCCCATTAATCCTCCTTCTGACCCTTAGGACCTCTGACCCACTGCCGAGCACCCCTTGGACGTGTGGACGGGCTGAAGGGCCGAGACCTGGGCCAGGCCTCCCAGAGGGACTGCTCCATGCCACAGCTCCCAGAAGGAAAACACAACAGCTTGAAAAGGCCCAAGATCCACATGACACAGTCAAGAAACAGCACAGACAAGCGACCCCTGAGCCTCGTGGGTGCCCAACGCCGTGTGGTTCCCAGCACCTTGTCATCGTGTCGTGGACCTCGGGGCCACATAAGCACACACCCAGCAGGAGCTGCTGTTCCTGTGAGACTTCCTGAAAATGGCACCAGGTGGCGAGCGTGTCGGGAGGTCACCCACAGAGTCTGCATCTCTGCCCCGCATATGACGCAGGGCCTTGTCCCTTTGGGAAAGCCGTGAATCATTCCTGTGACCTTGCTAATTCTCTGAAGGCGCTTTTCCATGCAACTTTTCAGACGCACTCCAACTCAGTACCGAGCCCGAGCTCGGGCTGCAGCCCGCACAGGCTCAGTCCAGTGTCAGGAGGAGGCGGAGCAGCGAGAGCCGAGACCAGCTCAGGGGAGCAGTTTCACCATCAGATTTGGAAGACGGGGCCATCACTAAGACCCCTCTCACCTCCCCAGAAACAGGGAAGAGGAGAACGAGGAGTGCAAGGGGAGGGGAAGGGCCTCATTCCTGCAGCTCGTCCAGGTGGGGCCAGAGGGTCCCCTCCTCTCCAGGCCGCCTGCAGCCCTCTTTCAGCTCACCCCATGCTCTGCCCAGGAGGCTTTGGAAGGTCAGGGTGCTGCCAGTGTTACAGGAATTTCGAGAGATGGCTTTGTCTTACAGTGATGAGAAGTGATGACGCTGACAGGGTGGGTGAGCGGAAGGAAAAGCAGGCTTTGCTACTCCAGGGGTCTGCTTTGTTTCTCCTATGTCTCCCAGGCAGTGTTCATGCTTGCTAACCAAGAAGAAATGTTACCTAACTCATCACTTGAGAAATGTCACAGAAATGTTACCGACCTGAGCAGTTAAGGAAGGTTATGGCTTGCTGAGCACTGGAGACATGCTGCTTCCTGGTCTGGTCTGGTCTGGTCTGGTGTCAGAGCCCCGTTCCTCCTGTGGACCCGTTCTGTTCCCATCTCTGCCTGTTGTTTTTCTTACTGCCTTCTCACATTACCTCCTCCCAGACAGGAATCCCTGACTGCCTGTCAGCACTTGTAACTACTCACATTCCCCCATCAGGGAGGGAGCCCTGAGTGCTGCGAGCTGATCTCGGCCACAGCTGCTCAGCTCTGTGATCAGGGGCGTAGAGCTGGGTCGGCAGCCGCCCATCCCTCTGAGGCTGGGTCTGCAGGTGCCCGGTAGAATGAGGGTTCCATTTGGGGCTCCAGTCGCAGCACCGTCTGCAGCTTGGCAGCCCCTAAATGAGCAGAGACAAATCTGACAAGAGGGTTAAATATACAGGGTCTTCAGGCCAGGATTTCTAGAAGTGACACATATCAGAGGCATGAGGGAGGCGGCTAAGCCGGAGTAAGAGTGTCACCAAGGCAATCACAGTGGAAAGGACGTGCAGTATTGGGACAGGGACTCGGGGACCTGGGTGCACATGAAGCAGGATGTAAGGGCTGTAAACAGAACCAGGAGAAGCAAGGTGGGTGGCATTCTGGCTGTCTCGCGACGTGCAAGGATGATTGGTAGAGCCTTTTTGTTAGCCAGTTTTTAATGACCCCTTTAAGTTTGTTTTTGGGCCATTATAAAGGCATTTCGAGTGCTTTAAGAAACTGTGTAAGCACAGTTATCATTCAGCTGTGCATAAGAATCCTTGCTCTACAACCGCGGCTTTTGTTGTTGACAGAAGTCAATTCACCTTGATTTGTATTCTCTCCTTGTGCTCGAAATCCTCTTTTGAGCGCATGAGTGTATCGCTGATCAGTCATCTTGTAGCTGGCTTTTCCTTGGCCCTCATTGGCAGGTCAGATTAGACCTGGTTGCTGATCCAGTCTCACTTTGGAGGGAGAAGAAGTATGTGATGACCAGGAGTCAATGTCAGTATCCCATCTAGACACTTGTAAGTGACAAAGAGGTCTCAGAAGAAGTGGGCTCCATTGTTGAACTGAACTTGACCTTTCGTGTCGGTGTGGCACTTGGGCCAGCTTCTGCTTTTCCAGGCAGATTAGCAGGAGCTGGATCAGAAGTGGAGCACCCAGGACTCAGCCCAGAGCCCACATGAGATGCCAGCTCCACGGACGGCAGCCCAGTCTGGGCCACAGTGCCGGTCTGTGGATGGACTAGGTGTGTAAGTATGGTGACAGCAGTTAGTGTACCATAGCGGGGCCAGTGTGTTCTCTGAGAACAGATTTTCACTGAACTCATGTGAACACAGTCACATTGCCCTGAGAATCTAAAATGCCTCAGAAAACTTTTGAATTTAGAGGAATTAAGCAGAAGGAAAGGGAAGCATTTTTATCTGTTTACAAAGCTGTCCCAAAGCACTGAGTACAATAGAAGTCACAGAAAAAAAAAAAAAAAGATCCTTTGGAATCTAGAAGAGGAAACATTTTTAAATACAGAACCAACAGTGTTTTAAACAAAAGACATAAAAATGCATGCTTTTTATTTATCTGGTTTATGCAACTAATTTTTTATTAATTTCCATAAGCAGATTTTTTTTTCAATTTTTAGAGTTTCAGAACTTCTTGTCTAGTCCATTATTTCCAAAGCTGTCAGAAAACCTGTATTTAAGAATATTTCTTAGAATGCAGATTTTTTTAGAGAAAAGAAAACTGGATGACAAAGAGAATTAACTAGTCATGGTTAAAATTAATTGACAAGAGGAGGCAGTTTATGTTTAGTTCACACAGCATTGTGGGAAGCACCTGAAGGATTTTATAAACACTGTGTGTGTCTGGGGCCTTTTTTTTTTTAAAATCAAGATAGCCATCATGACATCGAGCCCTGACAGCTAGGCCTCTGGGCAGCAGTGGGAGGGGGATGGGAGGCACACGTTCACAGGCACTGCTCCTGTGGTCCCATCCATCAGGGAGGTGTTGGAGAATGTGATAGCTTTGAAGGGAGGGGGCGGCCTGAGGTAGGGGCTACCCCCACAGCCTCCCTGTACCCCCAAGCCCTGTGTGGCCCTTCTGTCCTCTGCGAGTCGGGGAGTCTTCTTTACGGCCCAGCTGAGAGCCCGTGCCTGCCAGGCAGTTTTGAGCTTCAGGATCCTGACCAGAACCTGGAGGAACCACATCAGTTAGTTCGCTTGTTTCCACTCTGGGGTCGACCTTCATGTGGGATTTCTCCCAGCACGGCCTGGGGCAGAAGTGGCTGAAAGCCCAGGCCTGCAGCGGTTTGCGTATGTATTCCTGTTCCTGGGAAGAATCCCGAGGCTTCTCTGGAGTCCCTTGACTTGTTTCCTATTCTTTCTGTCCAGTGCTGAGCCGCTGGTGGCCCATTACGTCTGCCTCTGTGGGCTCTCCCTGGGGTCATAGGTCATTCACCTCTCATAACAAGTGCTCCAGCTCTAGGCTCATATAAGATGGGACCTGGTAATATTCAGACAGGATGTTGTCCTCCAGCTGCATCCAGTTCTTCCCAACAAAAGGCAGGGACCTGTCACCATGGCATACAGGACCACACCCAGGCTCCAGACATCGGCCTTATAACCACTGAGTTCCTCATCTGGTAATCTTCGAGGGCAGGGTGCTCTGGCACCCCACAAAATGTGTCCAGATGTTATCGCTTAAGTCAGTCTGCAGCTAAATTCAGTTAATATTCAGCCGGGCATCCCAAAGGAGGTTTTGTAATTTTAAGTTTCAGTGCCCTTCTTATGGCAGTAGAACACTGCTGATAATGTCTGGTTAAACATCTGACATGCCTCTTCCTCACACAAGTGGCCACACTCTGCCACGTCCTGGTCAAGGTCCCCCCTGCTCGCATAGGCCGTGAAAATGTATGCTCTGTCTGCTGTGTGCGTATATATAACAGCCTGAAATGTTTGGGAAATGCATCTCTTGCTAATGTCTGCTTCCACCCACACTTGCAGGAAGCTGGAGGAGGCCTGGTTGGCTCTGGCGTTTGTCATGGCCGCCTGGGTCTCGCTTTGCAGATGCTAGGTCAGCTTCCCTTGGCCAAGTTACTCTGGAGAGTGGTTCTGAGGACCTGGTATCCATTGAGGACCTCCTCGTCAGTGTGGGAGGCCGCACGGGGGCACCCACCTCCGAGCCTCTCTGATGCTGGTAGCACCCATGACAACTCTGACAACTGGGAAATGGAAAAGAAACAACACTGTCAGTGCCAGTGTTACAGGTAACACTACATATGAATGACACTAATCGCTAATTCTATCTCATTAAATATGAGAAGGCACAAAAAATGAGGAAAATCAATCAAGGAAACACCAACTAACATTACCTAAACAAGTTTAATCAGTAAGTCTAATAGTCTTATCTAAAGGATTAAAAATGTGGGGGAAATGGGAGAAACACATTAGAAAATGAAAACAAAATAAATACAAAAAGTGACAAATAAGTAAAAAATGGAGAGAGAAGAAAGTTAACAAAATAGAGAAAAAATAAAATATTAAAAAGAACAAACTGAGCAGACCGAATAGGGAAAACAGGTAGCTTTGTCCAAGTCCTATAGGTCACCATCAAAAAGCTTCCTGTACAAAACAAAAAAACCCCAGTGAGCCAGGGACTCATACAGGCAGTTGAAATTGTTAGGTTTGGAACAGCTCGGGGTTCTGGCCTCTTGTACTCCCAAAAAAGAGAGAAGGAAAAAGGAGATGGAGCCGAGCTCAACAGAGACAGGGGGCTTTATTGCAGCAAAGAGGGGCGACAGTCCGTTCTTGCGAGGATACTGTGCAGGGCGTGTGTAGGGCCAGGTTTTATCTGATTGAGGAGGGAATCTGCCGCTGGGGGCAGGCTGAGGGGGTTTTGCCTGCAGCTGGTGGGAAGCAGGGAGTAGGGGGCTCTTAGAGGCCGCTGACAGCTTTCCTCTTGGCTGTTTCACAAGCTGCCCTGTGCAGCTTATCTGTTTTTCCAGCTGCTTTGCAAGGAGTCTGGGGGAGTTGAGCCTGGTTCCTGCAACCAAGGGTCTCAACAAAAAGGAGGAGGGGAAGGGGCAGCATGCCCTTTAGCAATGACATTGATGTGAGAGGAAGAAATGGACCAGTCACAGCTGGCGATACTCCACGCTGGTTTTCCTGAAACCCTTTCCACTTAAATAGAAAGGACCCCGAAAGCTTTTTGCTTAGGTCGATGATAGACTTTGATCTGGTTGTGGCTAGCCCTGAGAGCCTCAGATCCAACAAAGCCACTGCTACAAAGAGGGAGGTGGACCAGGTTCGAGTCCTGGCTGCTCCACTTCAATGCTGCCCTCTGCTATGGCCTGGGAAAGCAGTGAAGGATGGCCCGAGTCTCCACGTGGGAGACCCAGAGGAAGCTCCTGGCTCCTGGCTTTGGATAAGTGCAGCTCTGGCCATTACAGCCATCTGGGAAGTGAACCAGTGGGTGGAAGCTCTTTCTCTTTCTACCTCTATCTCTAACTGTCTTTAAAATAAATAAATTAGAAAAAAAAAGAAATGAAGAAACAGATATGGGTAAGCAGCTGCAAATGCTACTAACCCCTGCATGTTGCGGAGAAAAGCAACAGACTTGGTTTTGGCCTGGTCTTCATGTGGTCTCTTGCAGGGGGTGGTGCTGGGCAAGTGTGACTGACTAGGAGTTTCATCTCCAGCGGGAGCAGTGTGCATTTCTGGAGTGTATGCTTTGGACGATCTGGGGAACAAAGACAACTTTCAGGCAGTTTTAACTCCGTATATAAGCAATATGCATCCGTGCGGTTACTTCACGTAACTTGTTGAAGCAAACTGTTGTCACCTATCATATCTACTGTGACCCTGAGGACGCTGAATTTAAGTGTCTCCCTTGGACCCGGTGTTGTGGCTCAGCGGGTTAAGCTGCTGTCTGTGATGCCTGCATCTCATGTGGGCGGTGGTTTGAGTCCCGGCTGCTCCACTTCCCACCCAACTCCCTGCTGATGTGCCTGGGAAGGCAGCAAAGGATGGCCCAAGCACTTGAGCTCCTGCCACCCATCTGGGAGACCTGGATGAAGCTGCTGGCTTCTGGCTTCTGCCTGGCCCAGCTGCTGCTGTTGTAGCCATTTAGACAGAGAACCAATGGATGGACGATCTCTCTTCCTGTCTCTCCCTCTCTCAGTAAATCTATGTTTCCAAATAAAATTAAAAAAAAAAAAAAGTCTCCTTCTGTCCCTCTACCACCCAACCCCCACATTTTCTCTATCTCGTTGGTGTTCCTGGGAAGTTTCATGATCTTTAGTCCTTAGAGATCTCTGAGACTTTCATTGAAATCCGTGTAGGTAATGAAAGAAGTTTCTCAGCTATAGAGAAGTCCGGTTCCTACTGCGTGCCTGGTCTGTGTCAGCCGGTGCTCCAGGTTCCCTGAGGGTACGGTGTGAACACCGCAGAGGAGGCGTCTGCCTCCAGAAAGCTTACTTACTAGCCGTACCAAGGAGACAGCCAATGTGTGGAGAGAGCCCAGGAGACAGGAGGACTCCTGCCTGGTGTGCAGGGAGCTCAGTTTCTGGATTTAATCTATCACAAATGCAAATCATCTAAACTTGACCTTTGCATATGGTTAGGGAATTCAACAAGTATTCATTGAGTACCATCTCTGCTGGAGACAGCAGAACACTGGGATAAAATGAGAATCAAAATAGGCCCATACAGCTGGGTAAAGTGGCACAGGGATGCACTGGGTCCCTCACAGTCACCCTTGGGTGGGAAATACCGGTATCTGTCTCACTAATAATGGACCCACGAAAGGGGTGTGTGTGTGTGTGTGTTCAGCGGCCCAGGACTAGAATTACCCCTAAAGAAGAGACCATGGAGTGAAAGCAAGAGTCGGGGTTGGCACTGAGTTTTGAATAAACAGTAGGATTTGGATGGCCAACTTAAGGGAGGGTAGGTGGAGGGGTTGGGGGCGAGAATATTCTAGAAAGCATTTTCTTGGAAAAAGACCTTGTGTCGGGATTTCTGGGGCCAATGGGGAATTAGCAGCGTTTGAACAGAAGGTGTGAGCTGTAGCTGTTGAGGTCAGTTTCGGGGGCCTCGCCTCAGAACTTGTCACTTAGTCTACTGCAACGGGGGGGTCACTCAGTGCATGTGAGGACCGCTGGAACACAAGTCCGAGGCCGGATGGCGCCTTCCACTCCTACGCGCCGCCCCCACAGCTTGGCTGAGGGAGCGGTGCCCCCGCCAGTTCCACCGGACTGCAGGCCCCATAGAGACGCTCCTCCCGCTGCCTAGAGAGGCCGCGAGGGCCGCGCGAGGCCGCCGTGACGCGCTTCCGGCGCCGCGGGGCGGGCCCTGGGCCGTGCGCGCCTGCGCGTCTCCGGGACCACAGACTCCGCCCTGCGGGGAGCTCCCGCGTCTCACGGTGAGCGGCGAGGGCCCCAGGGAGGGGAGAGGAGCAGTGTCTTGGCTGGGGCGGCGGCCGGAGGCTTTGCGGGGCAGTGTGTCCTGGCCTCGGTCGCCCCCAGGACCGACTTCCCGAACTGGGGGGCACTCCCGGCTCAGCTCACGGCGTCGGCACTGCAGATTCCGGGGCGCAGCCCGGAGCCCCGCACGAGGGAGGCGCTTCAGAGATGGCAGAGCGAGTAAATGCCGAGGGATGGACTGGGTGATGGAGAGCTAGGACCCGTGTGCAGCAAGGAAACCCCGAGGCTCAGAATTCGCGGCCCCTGCCCTGCGGACAGAAACTTAGGGTCTTCCCAGGGGAGGCAGCTAGTCGTGTACTGCGCTCGGGCCCCGGAGACCTGGGTTGCTGTATGGAGGGTGGGAACCCAGGGGCGAGGCCACAGGACGTTTGAGGGTGCAGCTGCTCGGAAGCAGTGTGCGTGATGCTATTTGAAACCGCGTTTGTGCCGCCATCCAGGACCTGTTGGCGGCTGTGGTGCTGACTTCTCCAATCTCCCCGACAGCCTGTTGTGGCATTTCTTAGTAAAGTGGGGCACAGGGAGAACAGCTTTCCAAGGGCAAGCACAGTGCTACCAAGTGGCCCGAGGCTGCAGAATAGAGAGCTGGGTGTGTGTGTGTGTAGAGAGAGAGAGGAGAGAGAATCTTCCATCCCCAAATGGCCGCAATGACTGGACTGGGACAGGCCAAAACCAGGAGCCAGGCGCCTCTTCTGGGTCTCCCATGAGGGTGTAGGGGCCCAAGGACTTGGGCCATCTTGTACTGCTTTCCCAGGCCATAGCAGAGAGCTGGATCGGAAGTGGAGCAGCCAGGACTTGAACTGGAGCCCATGTGGGCTGCTGGCACTAGAGGCAGCGGCTTTACCTGCTACGCCACAGTGCCGGCCCCATCCTTAAGCCAGTCTGAGAGATAAGGAGGTGGCAGTGCAGAGAAAGCTTACAAGTCCGCTGCCTGTTAGGTTAGCAGGATGAGGCTGTTCAGAGCCTCTTTCTTCCCTTTCACCCTTCACCGTAATACCCATCTCCCCCGACCCAGATCTGCAGACAGATCCATTTATCATCTTAAAATCACTAACAATTGGCCGGCGCCGCGGCTCACTAGGCTAATCCTCCTCCTAGCGGCGCCGGCACACCGGGTTCTAGTCCCGGTCGGGGCGCCGGATTCTGTCCCGGTTGCCCCTCTTCCAGGCCAGCCCTCTGCTGTGGCCAGGGAGTGCAGTGGAGGATGGCCCAGGTGCTTGGGCCCTGCACCCCATGGGAGACCAGGAAAAGCTCCTGGCTCCTGCCATCGGATCAGCGCGGTGCGCCGGCCGCAGCGCGCCGGCCGCGGAGGCCATTGGAGGGTGAACCAACGGCAAAGGAAGACCTTTCTCTCTGTCTCTCTCTCTCTCACTGTCCACTCTGCCTGTCAAAAAAATAAAAAAAAAAAAAATCACTAACAATCAGTTTATTCCACAGTACGCATTTGTGAAAGCCCCTGTACATTCCTTTTTTTTTATTTTTTTTTTTTTTTTGAGATTGGTTTATTCATTTGAAAGAGTTACAGAGAGCAGGAGAGACAACAGGGAGATTTTCCATGCACTGGTTCAATCCCCAGATGGCCACAATGGCCAGGGCTCGGCCAGGCTGAAGCCAGGAACTGCATCTGAGTCTCCCACATGTGTGCCATTGGCCCAAACACTTGGGCCATCTTTCATTATTCTCAGGCCATTAGCAGGGAGGCAGATCGGAAGTGAAGCGGCTGAGACATGAACTGGCACCTGTATCGGATGCTGGCGTCACAGGCGGCAGCTTTACCTGCTGTGCCGCGGTGCCAGGCCCATCGTTCCGGGCAACTTGCAGACCATAGAAAACTCTGACCCATAGGCCAGATTTGTCCTACTTTTTTCCTGTAAAACCGTTGGGTTGAAACACGGGCTCATTCATTTACCTACTGTCTTTTTGTTTTCAAACTGTGAAGGCACAGTTGAACAGGTTGCAGCAGGTGCTGTAGCCCATGAAGGCTGAGATACTTTCTGGCCCTTTACAGAAAAAGCGTGCTAACCTTGGGTGTCGACAGACCACCTACGGCCTGGGTGACCCCCAACTGGAGGACGGTGGTCATGACCGAGACGTCTTTCCTCACCACAGGGTCTAGTATCAGAATACCATCTAACCCCTGCGGAGGGCCTGCTGTGGGCAGGTTGCTTCGTGAGTGCTTTGCAGGAGTCAAGGACTCCTGGAGGTGATCCAGTTTGTCAACTCTTCAATTAAACAGGCTGCCCTGAGCAAAGTCCCTGACCCCAGTCCAGTCCACTCTCATCTCCCTCTGAGTGGGAGGCCCCTAGCCTACCTAGGGGGTCGGGAAGGCTTTGCTTTGATTTCTCTTTTTGGAGCCAAAATCCATAAGTGAGCTCTGTCACTTCTCAAAATAACCATTTTTCTAACTATAAAAGACACCTGTCAGGGCAGCATTTGCCGTAGCAGTGCAGGTGCTTATTTTTCCTTCTTACTCAGGTGCATATTTCAGCAGATGTTTATGATGTTATGTTGTATTTAATTTTTTAGTATCTTGGGGCTTTTTCCCACTAATACGTTGGCATACATATTTTTCCAAATAGATAATTCCATTTTTAATTATCTTTGTGTCTAATTTCCACCAAGTGGAAGTACCATAATCCAAAAGTTGTAAGTCTCAGCGTCCAACAACAGAAAAGTTGTTATTTCCAGTTATTCCTTCACAAGTAACAAAAGAATTCTGTTTTCGTCATCTCTGGGACGTTACTTTTTTAGGAAAAATCTTGAATTACTAGGTCAAAGAAAGTAGACATTTATATGCTATCTTTGAGGAGTTACTATGATAACACTGCAGGATTCAGAATGAATATTCTGTTCTGAGTCCCTGTACCCACAGAATGGTGATAGCAATACCCCAGCTACAATTCAAGGTACAGCTTTTAAGGCTAGTTATATAAATATTGCCAAATTACCCCCCAGGAAGATGGTGCCAATTTATATCCCCACTAGTGTATGAGACTCTCCCCGTCAGTCTTGAGTTTAACATTAAAAATAGGTTTTGCAGGGGTGAGCATTTAGCCTGACAGTTAAGCCACGGGTTCAGATGCCCACACATGTTAGAGTACCTGACTCCAGATTCCTGCTGTAACAGACCCTGGCAGGCAGTGATGATGGCTCAAATGATTGGGTTCTTCCCTCTCAAGTGGGAGACCTGGATTGAGTTCTGGGCTTTGGCCTGGCCCAGTTCCAGCCATCAGGTGCATTTGGGAAGTGGGTCAACAGATAGGAGCGTTCTTTCTCTTTGTTTTTCTGTCTCTCAAATAAGTAAAGAAATATATTTTTAAATAGATCTTTTATTTTGCAAAGCAGAGAGAGACAGAGATCTTCCATCTGTTGGTTCACTCTCCAAATGCCCACTGTAACCGCTGGGGCTAGGCCAGGCCAAAGCTGGGAGCCAGGAGCTTCATCCGGGTTACCTACCGGGTGGCAGGGGCCCAAGCACTTAGGCCATCTTCTGCAGCTTTTCCCAGGACATTAGCAGGGAACTGGATCAGAAGTGGAGCAGCCAGGACAGGAACCAGCACCCATACAGGATGTGGAACATGGCTTTACCTGCTACACCACAAGGCCAGCCCCAGGTTTTGAGTTTTGTGTAATGATTGATTTCAGCCTCCATTTCTTTGATTACCACAGAAATGGAATTTGGTTTTAATATGTCTATTTGCCTCTTGTAATTCTTGGGGTATTTGTAATATTTTCCATTTTTCTCTTCATCTTTTTCCCTTATTCGTGTCTAAGAAGTCTATATAGCAGGTCTATCTACTCCTTGATATTTAAGTCAAAAATGCTTTTCCTAACTTGTCTTTTAATTTTATTTGTATTTTGGATATTCTGTGCCTAGATTTATCCATTTTTGTCTTCTGGGGCCTGTACTTTTATGTGTTTTGCTTAGAATTATTTATTCTAAGCCTAAGATCAGAAATTCATCAGTATTTTGTTATGTTGTGGTTTCATCTTTTGTAAGCGTATTCAACACTTCGGGAAGTTTAGGTTTATTTTGGTGTGTGATGTGATGCAGGAATCTCGCTTTTTTTCCCCCAAGCAGTGGCAGCATGCACAGTGTAATTGTTGAGTGCTGTGTTTGTGTTGATGATTACAAATGTTCTTACCAGATACCTGTATCTCCTGGGCACTTAGGAGTCTCAAATCAGCAGCCAGAGTCAGGCTTCCTGTAGACAGACTCCCCGTGGAGCTCCTCCCAGCCCTGCTCCTTTGATGATGTTTATCTGATATTCCTGTGACTTCAGTTGCTCTTTTTGTGTTAAAAACTAAGTAATGTGACTTCTGCCCACATCTCTCTGCTCTGTCCCAGGTATGTGTGCTGTGCTTTCCGCTTGGATAGGACAGCACTAAATGCATCCTCTCCCTGCGGGGCCCAGAGCTGCTGCTCTCACTAGAGGTCAGCGTACTCGCCCTTTGCCTTTCTGCTCCCCCAGTATTCATCCAGTCCCCGCACGAGGTGATGGAGACGGCTTCTCAAGGGGCATCCAGCCTTCGCCTGAATCCGCAACCCCGACCCCTCACACACTCCCTTTCTCTGCACCTGGACAGAGATCTGATCAGGTCTCCTCTGCTTATCAGACCTTGTCAAATCCTTTCCTGGCTTTCTGCTCGCTTCAGGGTAAAGTCGCTAAAATGGTTTGCCGGGTTCTGTTCGATGTGTTTTTTGCTTGCCTCAGGCTTTGTTTCTGGTGCCTGGTACTTGGGCCTTGTCGGTTCTCCGCCATTCCTGCAGAGCTTGGTTTGTGTGCTGTTCCCTGCCACTGATGTGTTCTGCTCCCGTTTGGCCTGTCTAGCTGCCGTTTGTTCTTCAGAGGGGTTTGATTTCCTAGAAGTTGGGGGCTAGATTAAGGTCTCCTCTGTACTACATTCCATAGCACCCCACATTCCCACATTTATAACTGCC